TCTTCCCCATCTTTTTGCCAGGTAGTGAGAGGACCGGATGCCATGATCTTAGTTTTCTTAATGTTGAGTTTCAAACCAACTTTTGCGCTCTCCTCCTTCACCCGCTTCAAGAGGCTCTTTAGTTCCTCTTCACTTTCTGCCATTAGAGTGGTATCATCTGCATATCTGAGGTTGCTGATATTTCTCTTGGCAATCTTAATTTTGACTTGTGATTCATCTAGCCCCGCCTTTCTCATGATGTGCTCTGCATATAAGTTAAATAAGCAGGGTGACAGTATGCATCCTTGCCGTACTCCTTTCCTAATCTTGAACCAATCAGTAGTTCCATGTCCAGTTCTCACTGTTGCTTCTTGACCTGCATACAGGTTTCTCAAGAGACAAATAAGATGGTCTCTTTAAGAACTTGCCACAATTTGTTGTGATCCACACAATCAAAGGCTTTAGTATAGTAAATGAAGCAGAAGAGCAGGTTGCTTACCTGTAACTGATGTTCTTCGAGTGGCCATCTGTGCAGTCACACATATGGGTTCTGCACCTGCGCAGTGCCTTTGGCCGGAAGATTAACAGCTAACGGTTTCTTGGCGGGAACTCCGCTCCCCCTCCCTCCTAGCATTATATAAGGAGTGGAGTGTCCGCCATTTTCCAGTCTTTGAAAGACCGACGTTCGCTCCCGTAATAAAGTTATTGTCATGATGGCAAAAAACAAAAATTTCACTGGTACGACAAATATCTAAAGAGATCCTAGCATCGAGGAGAAGGAAGTCGGACCACCCATGACACCAAGCGGGGTCGGAGGGTGGGTTGTGTGACTGCACAGATGGCCACTCGAAGAACATCAGTTACAGGTAAGCAACCTGCTCTTCTTCGTCGTGGCCTCTGTGCATCACACATATGGGTAGAATAACAAGCTTACCCAGACTTGGAGGAGGGAGGTGTCATCAGTGAAGAATAGAAGAGAGGACAGCCCTGCCAAAAGAGCAGTCTTGCCTGGCGCTGCCATCAAGTCTGTAGTGTCTGGCAAAGGTACACGGGGTAGCCAAGTGGCAGCTCTGCAAACATCTTCCATCGGAACTCCCGATGCAAAAGCCGAAGAAGCAGTCACAGCCCTTGTAAAATGACCTCTTGGAGTAGATGGCAAGTCCAATTTAGTCAATTGGTAGGACAGCACAATTGTTTGCACTATCCATTTGGAAAGTTGTTGTGAAGTGACCGGATAGTCCCGGTCGTGTTCCGAGTATTTAACAAAAAGTCTATTGGAGTGTCGAACAGATTCAGTCCTAGACCTATAAAAGGCTAAGCAACGATGAACATCCAGCATATGCAGGGATCTCTCTATTGGATTTGAAGGAGCTGGGAAGAACGCTGGCAAAATGATCTCCTGCTGCATGTGAAACCAGGTAGCAATCTTAGGAAGAAAAGACGGATCCAGCCGTAGAACTACCTTTTCCTTATGAAAATTAAAAAAAGGGGGGGTCTACCCTAAGGGCGCATTGTTCAGATGATCTACGGGCTGAAGTAATAGCTACTAGAAAAGCAGTCTTCCATGAGACAAGGCATAAATAGATTGTCGCCATGGGTTCAAAAGGTGGTCGGGTCAGTGCTTGCAAAACCACTGAAAGACTCCAAGTGGGCATTAGAGGCCTTATCATTAGATGGAGGTTACCCAATCCTCTCAAAAATCGTTTAATCAGAGGTTGAGAAAAAACAGAGAAACCTTGCATAGTTCCACGGTAGTGAGAAATCGCTGCTGTATATACTTTTATGGAAGAAGGTTTAAGTCCAGACTGATGTAATTTGAAGAGGAATTGAAGAATCTGCTGAATCGATGCTGATGACGCCGGAAATGAGTGAGATTCGACAAAGCGGGAGAGTCTACGCCATTTAGCTGCATACGACTTCCTAGTGGACGGTCTTAATGCAGATTCGAGAATATATAGCAGATCTGGATGTAAAGTCTGTGAAGTAGAGGTAGTAGTCATCGCCGGTGGCGTCGACACCAGTGCAGTACATACAGTTATCGGATCCTCCAGGCAGTCAATTTCAGCGACAATAGGTCTGGGTGTCGTATCGTGCCTCTCCCCTGAGTAATGAGATAAGGAAGGAGAGGGAGCTGAAGAAAATCTTCCCGAGAGATGTGAAGGAGAGTTGAGAACCATGGTTGGCGCGGCCACCAGGGGGGTTATCAGTAGCCCTGTGGCCCCTTCGTGAATGATCTTTGCCAACACTCTCATGATGAGGGGGATCGGCGGGAAAGCGTAAAAAGTCAGGTGGTCCAGGGGATCATGAAGGCGTCCCTGGACGACCCCTCTCCTATCCCCACTCTGGAACAATAGTTCATCCACACCCTGTTCTGTTGGGTGGCAAACAGGTCTATGTCCGGCGGACTCCAGAAGTAGAACAGTCTGTCGCGAACCCGATGGTCCAGTTCCCATTCGTGTGACCGCAACATATGTCTGCTCAAGAGATCTGCCTCTACATTGTCCGTGCCCGCAAGATGTACTGCTAGAAGAGTGATATCTCTTGGTATGCACCAGTCCCAAATTTTGATGGACAGATGGGCTAGTTTCGGGGACCGGGTTCCCCCTTGCTTGTTCAAATAAAAGACCGTAGCCATGTTGTCTGAAGTCACCTGGACAACCTGATGAAGAAGCATGTCTTCAAACGATTGCAGGGCTTTGAAAACAGCAAGAAGTTCCAGAAAGTTGATGTGGTTCCTGGAATCCCCGGGACTCCACATCCCTTGGGTACGTAGTCCGGAGCAAATGGCTCCCCATCCGAGAAGGGATGCGTTGGTACCGAGAGCCACTGTAGCGTACCGAGGCCGAAACAGGACACCGACATTCAAATTGACTGGTTCGGTCCACCATGACAGGGACTGAAGAACGGAGGCCGGGAGCCGAATCCGTTCGGTAGGTGGATCTCTCTGTGGTCGGAACATTCTGTTGAAGAATAACTGAAGAGGGCGTAGTCTGAGTTTGGCATGTGGAACCACGGCGATGGATGCAGCCATGTGTCCCAACAGACTCTGGATAGATTGGGCAGGGACAGTCCTTTCTCGTCGAATCTGAGAGATGCACCGAGTGATGGCATAATGTCTGTCTTGAGGAAGAAAGGCTCTTGTCAACGTAGAATCCAGCCGGGCTCCAATAAAGTTGATTGTCTGTGCAGGGATAAGAGAAGACTTCTGTTGATTAATGCAGAGTCCAAGGTCTTGTAAAAGAGCACAAGTAATATCAACGGCACACAAAAGTCCTGCCCTAGTGTCGGAAACCAACAACCAATCATCAAGGTACGGGTATATCCGAATTCCACGTAGTCGAAGGTGTGCGCAAACAGGAGCCATACACTTCGTAAAAACTCTTGGTGCAGTGGCCAATCCAAACGGTAACACCTTGAATTCGTAGATCTCAGAGCCTACCGCGAAATGAAGGAATCGCCTATGACGTGGATGTATTGAAATATGAAAATAGGCATCCTTCAAGTCCAACAAGGCGAACCAATCCCCTCTCCCCAGCAACGGAAGTATATTTTGGAGCGTGGTCATCCGAAACTTCTTTGGTGTTATGAATTTATTGAGAGCTCTCAAGTCCAATATGGGTCGGAGACCCCCATCTCGTTTCAGGACCATAAAATATTTAGAATAGAATCCATGGAGTCCGTCCGACGTTAAGTGACGAACAGCTCCCTTAGTAAGGAGTTGGTGAATTTCATCCAACAGTACCAAGGAGGCCAGTGTAAAACGGATAAAATTCGATGATGGAACAACGTCGAATTCAATTCTATAGCTGTGCAGGAAAATGGATAACACCCATCCATCAGATGTAATGGACTCCCAAGTGGGGAGCCAACTATTCAGTCGGTCCCCAAATAAGAGGGGAGAGTGAGGTGAGGAGAGGAAAGGCTTGCACGTCCCATCAGCGCTGTCGCCTATCCATGTCGAAGCGACGGCGGCCCTGGTGGAAACGCTGGGACGGTTGTTGTCTGTGGCGCTGCTGGCGTTGATGTGGTTGTTGTTGCCGAGGTTGGAATTGTTGGCAGTATTGCAGGTGTGACCATGACCACTTACGTCGGGGCTGGGATTGCAGTTCCATATGCCGGGCTGTCATTCTGGATTCATGGATCTTTTTCAGTTTACTATCCGTCTTCGCATTGAAGAGACCGGATCCGTCGAATGGCATCTCCTCAATTCTCCGCTTCATCTCTTCAGGAAAATTGCAATTACGCAACCAGGTGTGTCTGCGGAGGGAAATGGCACCGACAAGCGACCTTGAATCAGAGTCAACGTGGTGCCTCGCTGTGGAAAGATGTTGCACCGCCACCTGCATAGCTTCCTTAACAAAAGTTTTTGCTAATTCGCCCTGGTTCCCTGGGAAGGTGTCAATGATGATATCTAGGTGCTGCATAAGGAAGTACTGATAGCGCGCCAGGGTCGCCTCATAATTTGAAATTCATAGTCCAAGACCCGAAGCTGCGTACACCCGACGGGCGAGGGAGTCAACTTTTCTTCCTTCCTTATCACGAGGCAAAGTGTGTCCACGTGCTTCCCGGCCCTGAGAGGATTCCACAACAACCGAATTCGGCTTGGGGTGACAGAGGAGGAATGGGATGTCCTCCTCTTGAACCCGATACATGGATTCATATTTACGTGAAGTCGGTTGTGGGTGAACCAGGAGGTCCCATGGCTGAGTCACTGCCTGCCGCAGAGTCGTTATGAGTGGTAAGGCGATGGAGGTGGATCATTCGCCCCTGACCACATCAAAAAAATGGTCAGTGCTTGGCCCCGGTTGTTGGTGGGTTTCAATGTCAAGCGACTTCACCAGTCTGCCCATTAGCTCGTTGAAAGAGATATACGGTTCTTCAGGTGACCCCGGCTGTTGAGAAGTAACCGCTGCATCTGGTGAGGTCAAGTCAACCTCCGACTCATCAGATTCCATACAGTAAGGGGGTGGAGCACTGGAAGAGGAATCTCCTGGCAACTCCGATCTGCCACTTTCTCTAGATGGAACCCTCGGGACATCTCTTGGTGTAGAATGGAAACGATCCCGAGGAGATGGCAGTGAAGATCGTCCTCTGGAAATCGATTTCTTAACCGGCTTGCCCCCCTTATCTTTTTTGGCCTTCTTATGCACAGGATGTTTGTCCGGATCTCTGTGCTTTCGTTTCTCCTTTTGTTTCCTTGGAAGAGAAATGGGCTGATCGGCCATGCTGGAAGCACCTTCTTCCGAAGGGCGTGAGGGCGGAGCAATGGAGGAAGAGGCCGGGCGTTGCGGCAGGGCGGCCTGAGTTGGCGGCCTTTGGTTGGAACCACTGTAGGGGGCTTAGCCACCAGCTGGTCCAATTGGAGGAAAGCCTGGTCCCACAAGAGCTTGCGGAGGCGGTTCTCCCGATTCTTCCTCGCCTGTTTGGAGAAGGCCAAACAGTGGCTGCATTTATCTGTCCTGTGCCCTTTCCCCAGGCAAAGGAGGCACAGGTCATGCGGGTCCGCGGTGGGCACTTTGGAGCTGCACTTTCCGCACTTGCGGAATGCTGCTCATTGCGCCATCTTAGAAAAATGAAGAAAAGAAGATAGCAAAGTGGGAGAATATTTTTTGTTTTGTTTTGTTTAGGAGGAACAAGAGAGAATAAAGTGAAAAAACAAGAACTGAGTGAGATACTAAGAGTAACAGGAACAAGGGAATACTAACTTGGTAAGAAAAAGGAATTTTTCAACAAACGAGAAGGTAAGTAATGATCTAAGCGAGAGCGAAGCGGCACGAGGCACAACGAACAGCAGTCGCAAAGACTGGAAAATGGTGGATACTCTGCTCCTTATATAATGCTAGGGGGGAGAGGGAGCGGAGTTCCCGCCAAAAAACCATTAGTTGTTAATCTTCCGGCCAAAGGCACTGCGCAGGCGCAGAACCCATATGTGTGATGCACAGAGGCCACGACAAAGAAGTAGATGTTTTTCTGGAACTCCCTAGCTTTCTCCATGATCCAGCGTATGTTGGCAATTTGATCTCTAGTTCCTCTCCCTCTTCGAAATCCTGCCTGTACTTCTGGTAGTTCTCAGTCCACAAACTGCTGGAACCTAGCTTGTAGGATTTTGAGCGTAAATTTGCTAGCATGTAAAATGAATGCAATGGTGCGGTAGTTTGAACATTCGTTGGCATTGCCCTTCTTTGGGATCAGAATGTAAACTGACCTTTTCCAATCCTGTGGCCACTCTTGAGTTTTCCAAATTTGCTGGCATATTGAGTGTAGCACTTTTACTGCATCGTCTTTTAGGATTTTGAATAGCTCAGCTGGAATACTGTCTCCTCCACTAGCTTTGTTGTTGCTAAGTCTTCCTAAGGCCAATTTGACTTCACATTCCAGGATGTCTGGCTCAAGGTCAGTGACCACCCCATCGTGGTTATCAGGGATGTTAAGCTCTTTCTTGTATAGTTCTTCTGTGTAATCTTGTCAATCTCTTCTGCCTCTGTTAGGTCCCTGCCATTTTGGTCCTTCATCATGCCCATCTTTGCATGAAATGTTCCCTTCATATCTCCAATTTTCTTGAAGAGATCTCTGGTCCTCCCTATTCTATTGCTTTCTTCTATTTCTTTACACTGTTCATTTAAGAAGGCCTTCTTATCTCTTCTAGCTATTCTCTGGAATTCTGCATTCAATAGGGTCATATTTCCCTTTCTCCCTTGCCTTTCGCTGCTTCTTTCCTCAGCTATTTGTAAAACTTCCTCAGACAGCCATTTTGCTTTCTTGCATTTCTTTTTCTTTGGGATGGTTTTAGTTGCTGCCTCTTGTACAGTGTTGTGAACCTCCGTCTATAGTTCTTCAGGCATTCTATCTATTTAAGATTCCTTAAATCTATTTGTCACCTCTACTGTATATTCATCAGGGATATGATTTAGGTCATACCTGAGTGGCCTAGTGCTTTTCCCTACTTTCTTCAATTTAAGCCATAATTTTGCAACAAGAGGCTCATGATCTGAGCCACAGTCAGCTCCTGGTCTTGTTTTTACTAACTGTATAGAGCTTCTCCATTTTTGGCTGCAGAGCACATAGTCAATCTGATTTCTGTGTTGACCATCTGGTGATGTCCATATGTAGAGTCACCTCGAGTTGTTGGAAAAGCGTGTTTGATATGACCAGCGTGTTCTCTTGATAAAATTCTGCCAGCCTTTGCCTTGCTTCATTTTGTACTCCAAGGCCAAACTTGCCTGTTATTCCAGTTATCTTTTGGCTTCCTAACTTTAGCATTCCAATCCCCCATGATGATAAGGAGATCATTTTTTGGAGTTAATTGTAGAAGGTGTTGTAGGCCTTCATAGAACTGGTCAACTTCAGTCTCTTCAGCACCAGTGGTTGGGGCATAGACTTGGACTATTGTGATGTTGAATGGTTTGCCTTGGATTTGAACTGAGATCATTCTGTCATTTAGGACACTGTATCCCAGTACTGCTTTTCCTACTCTTTTATTGACTATGAAGGCTACTCCATTTCTTCTGGGGGATTCAGTAGTTATACCTGATGGTCATCTGAATTAAATTCCCCCATTCCTGTCCACTTTGGTTCATGGATTCCTAAGATGTCAATGTTCAGTCTTGTCATCTCACGTTTGACCATGTCCAGCTTACCTTGATTCATAGATCTTACATTCCAGGTTCATATGGAGTATAGATCTTTACAGCATCGAACTCTCCTTTCACCACCAGATACATCTGCAACTGAGTGTCCTTTCGGCCTTGACCCAGTGGCTTCATTCTTTCTGGTGCTACTAGTACTAGCCCTCTGCTCATCCCCAGTAGCACAATGGACACCTTCCAACCTGAGGGGCTCATCTTCCGGCGTCTTATCTCTTTGCCTGTTGATACTCTCCATGGGGTTTTCATGGCAAGGATACTGGAGTGAGTTGCAATTTACTTCTCCAGTGGATCACCTTTTGTCAGAGCTCTCTGCTATGACCTGACTGTCTTGGGTGGCCCTGCACGGCATAGCTCATAGCTTCATTGAGCTACACAAGCCCCCTCGCCACAACAAGGCAGTGATCCATGAAGAGGGACATGCACAGAGCTGTGCACTAATCTAAAAACATTTTTTCCCTCTGCTTTGCAGCTTGTTTATCTAAATTCTGCTTCCCGTATTACTTTATAAAGCTTTGTGTTGCCAAGTATGCAATGCCTGAATTCACGAGAAGTATTTATATGGTGACCTCTCTCTGCAAGCCACAGCTGCTCTTAAGTCAGTATGGCACAAAAATGAGCCTGGCCAATACATACCTGCGGTGGCACCCAACCTATGGAATTCACTCCCCAAAGAGGTCCGCCTGGCACCGTCGTTACTGGTTTTTCGGCGCCAGGTAAAGACCTTTTTATTTAAACATCATTTTAATTGTTAAAACATATGATCTGGCCAGGGCAACTTCTTCTTCCTTCTCTTTCTCTTCCTATATTTTTATTTACTTAACTTATACTGATAATTTTAATCTTATATTTGTAAATCAATGTATTTTTTGTATTTTGTATTTAATGGTAATTTATTATTATGTGCTATTGTATTTCATTGTATTTTATCGTGTTGTAATCCGCCCCGAGGTTTCGGCAAGGGGCGGCATAGAAATGTTATAATAATAATAATAATAATACCTCATTGGCTGCAGCTGCCATGGGAGTTGGGTGGTTAACAGAATCGCCTAGTGCAATGGCTAATCTGAGATCCTTCTGGATGTATTTCAGGTAGAAATCCGGTTTAAAGTTTCCTTGTAGGATGTCTGGAAAAGAAAGGGAACAAACCACAGGTACTTCTTCACATTCCACTATCCCAGCTGTTGGCCACGTTGGCTTTTTTGGGCCCAGTGTTACCTACTCTAATGGGCAGTCTTTCCTAGGCCTGCCATCCACAATTGGATCTGGAACTTGTACATGAAAAGTGTATGCTTTGCCAGAGTTAGGGCCTCTTCCCTATGGGCTGTTATCACCCTATGGATTTAACACCTTGGCTGTTTAACACCAGTCAGCAGCAAGCACGCACTGCCAGAAGAGTACCTTGGTTAAAATGCTTGGCCGTAAGACATCCAGATGTCTCAGTGTTGCAATTTTACTGCACTCCACAGAAGGAACAGTGAATGCAAAGTCCCAGAAACAATGCTTATTCTCCTCTTCTATTTTCCAAACCCTTTAAACCTAATTCTTGCAGCTGATTGGCAAAGCTTATAGTTACTGTCACAGCATATTATGGCAGAAAAAGGACAAAGAGAACATTACTTTGGCACTTCTGATCCAGGAAGATGCTGGCGAGCTGTCCCTGATTGAGGATATCCAGAAGGGTCTGCTGCGACTGACCAGTCACCTGAGCCAGAGTCAATCCTTCTGCTATTGTGGCCATGAAGCTTCCTTGGACCATGTTGACAATCAACATCATCTTGGCAGCATTGCCCACTTCCCCTGTGAGAGAGGGACACACTGTTGAATAGCCTTACATAAGGGGAAAAAAAAAGCAAGGACCCACACCTAGGCCACTGGTTTTTAAGCTCTTCTGTACAATAACCAATGACATCTGCTATTCTTTCCCTAAAATTCTTATCCTTTCAAGCACTTCACACTCAATACAGGGGCTGCACAGTGAGGTTGAGGGGAGAAGAGAGAACTATCTAGGACAATTAGATAGGAGAGCCAGTGTGGTGTAGTGGTGAAGAGCACGGGACTGGGACTCAGACGACCTGGGTTCTAGTCCCCACTCGGCCATGGAGCCAACAGGGTGACTCTGGGCCAGTCACAGACTCTCAGCCCAACCTACCGCACAGGGCTGTTGCTGTGGGGATAAGATGGAGGAGGAGAATGATGTAAGCTGCCTTGAGCCCTTTGTAGGAAAAAGGCAGGATAGAAATCCATAAATGAAGGAAGGCAGGCAGGCAGGCAGGCAGGCTATAAATCCATAAACAAACAAACAAACAAACAACCTCCACAACTTCCTCATCATTCTCAGTTTGTTCAGGATGCAGCAACATAGTTCCTTACTAATCTCAAGCACTTATAATGGCCAGTTAACACATGCGCAACAGTACACATCTCACACAGTTAACCCACTAAACTTTAGGAAGCCAGCAGGGTGGGAACAGAGGCAGAGGTGATCTTTTATTCATCTTCCCATCTTTGGTGATTTTCAATCCATACAGAAAAGGGCACTTTGGAAAGAAAGTGAAAGAGGCCAGAAGAGCCTCAATGTATCTTGTGTTCTGCCTTCACTGGTCTCTTTCCATCCTTGCCCACTAAAACGTTCCATTTTTGCTTCTCCCACAGCAGTGATGGGAAAGGCACTATGGTCATGGAAAGGGATCTTTCTGTGACAGGTGTGTGGCCCCTCTTCTGAGGTCAGAGCACTATCTGTGAGCTTGAGAGTTTTACTGAGCAATCCTATGGTCCCTGGGACACACGCTCCCAGGCAAGGTCATAGGATTGATTGATTGATTGATTGATTTAGAACATTTTAATGCTCCCAGGCAAGTTCATAGGATTTATTTATTTATTTATTTAAAAGATTTTTATGCCGCCCCCATCGCAACAAAGCCTCGGGGTGGCTCACAACCGGTCTTTTGGTGTTATTTTTAGGGGAAAATACTGACACAGGAACAGTACCAAGTCTAACTTCCTAAACAGACTTTTCTCATTATTAAAGAGAAGCAAATTACAGGCAGTTGGTTATATACCATTTCACTGAACTTTGTCAGATGCTGTCAAGGATGAACTAAAATTCTACTTTCAACAACAACATTAATTTATACACTGTCCAATAGCTCTGAAGCTCTCTGTTCAATGTACAACATTCTTTCAGCGGCTTTGTAAAAAGTATGATTAGCTACCTAAAAGCCAAAATATTTTTAAAAATGCCTTCTCAAGTTTAATTCTCTCCCATAGCTATCATGATTAAAGTTTGGCAGGACTGACGCCAGCAGAAATCAAGCAAGCCAGCAGAAAATCAAGCAAGCCAGCAGAAATCAGTTTGCAATATACAGGAGAAGTAGGGATTCTCTTCCTGTCTGAGGGCAAAATTCAGTTCTGCGGAAGTCCTCAAGGGACATTCCAGTGGTGCGTGGGGCTAATGGCAAAATGGCAGGGCTAAATTACCAGCATATTTCAGCTTGATGCTCTTACTGTCTGTAACCAAAGCACAGAAGAGGCACTTTAACCCTTTAGAATGGAGATAAAACTCCGCAAAAGTTAGAAAACCACCAAATGATCAGCAGTCAGCATAAAGTGGTGTGGCCTTGAAGAAAGGGATCGTCCAACTAGGGAATTCTGGGGGCCTGGATTGGGCCTCCAGGCTTGAGGTTGCCCATCCTTGATCTACAGGCTTTAAGAGTTACAGTTAGGCATGTCTAAGCAAATGAAAATCAATGGGCCTAGGCATGATTAGTCCTATGTACAATCAGCTTGTTAGGATCCTTTTCAACACTGAATTACAATATATTACCTAGAAAAAAAGAGGTCTTCCCCATTGCTTGGAAACAGCTACTGCAGTCTTCATATAAGCCTCTGTCTCCAGCAGCTAAGATCACTAACATCCCGTCATTAGATAACTGTTGGTTCCCTGAGACTGGGGCTTCCAGGAAGCGACCACCCCTGGATACGATCACCTGGAGGAAAAGAAACAAAAAAACAAAAAATGGGAAAATGTCTAACAGAAAAGCTCTTATCTTAACCTTAAAAAAAATCAGGAAATACAGGAAATCTAAAACACCTATTGATTATAGGAACACCCATTAGCTCCTGCCAGCAATTTCCATATTACTGCAGCAGCTTAACCGATCAATGGCTTAGAGTACTAGAATATTAACCATGTAGGTTCTTTGAGGAAAGTGAAAGTCCTAACGAGCACTGGGGGGGCATACATGCACTCCCATACAGATACATACATAATGCTTGCAAGATTAGGAATCAGCAGGAAAAGAACTTTTGGCTTTCACATATAATTTGAAGGCAAAGAACAAAGCTTTGGCTAGAGGCCCCACTTTTTATGGTAGAAAGAATGCCTTAAGAGGGTAGCATTTCCTTTGATTAAAAAATTGAGGAACACATCACACGGAATAGCAGGTAACAAATAAAATAACAAAAGACAGGCATTCGGTCTGCTATGGTTACCTGGGCCAATTCTGTAACGGTATCTGCATCCACAGTGGACATGTCCACATAGCACTTTCCTGGACGTATACCCTGGAGTACTCCACTAGGACCAAGCACCAGCTGTGAGAACAGAAGAGCGGGAAAGCAATAGGGTGTCTGCAAAGCAACGCTGACCTTAATAATGCCAAAGGGGCTTCTACTAGCCTCCTCTGTGAAAGGAGAGGCTGGTAGGTGGCTGCTGCTCATCATAGCAGATGGAAAACGTTAAGGTACTTTATGAAGGCAGCTAAATGATGGCATTACTTGTTTCTCTCCCCGCCCCCCCACACACCCCAGATTGACACACCCCAGATTGACAGACACACACCTGGATTAGGCAGGGATAGGTTAAGCTGTATCAGGGTACGGCGGTGTGCTTTCCAAGTGGAGAATTAACTGGGCTGCAGATGAATTAAAACTAGTTTCTTATTGGCCAATCTGAGCATCAAGCCACACAGGCCCAGAAATCTATACTGGTACAGCAGCATCTGCAAACTATTACACTCAAAAGACTGGAAGGAACTCCAGATTTATGCAGGTCAACAGAAAAAAGGCATGGAAAGCCTGTCCATTGATTTAACTCAGACAGCCTAATATGGGCAATATTCAGGCAGATGAACAGATAGTCTGACCTGGCATATACGTAGCTTCCTACTTCTCCCTGGGGAGAGGTGCTTATCAGCGCCAGTACGACTCTGGTTCAGATCAACTCCACAGCCAGTATCAAATTGCTTAAACTCAGCTACTCATCTATTTTTGTACTGACTTCACTTAAACTGTGCTTTCCTTGAGTTATGGTATGACACTGGGCTGGGCAGGACTCGCATCCAGAGTCTTCCTCAGCTGTCAGCTTTCTTGAGATGTTACCAAGCACCAACCACAGGCTTCCCTTGACCACGGCATGCTTCTGGATCCCAGCAGTCCCAGGTGGAACATGGAGCTCTCAGAGTACCTACTGCTATTCCCACCCAAGTTCCAACTGAACACCGTTTGTAAATGCAGACTCCGTGACGTGAACATCTGCCAGCTCCTGCAGCTCTGCATTAGTTTTACCATGTAGCCTGATTATGAGCTCTGGAAAACAAAAGCCAGCACACTATTTTGTAACCTTCCAACTGGCCTTTTGGGTTTTTTTAAATCGCTAAGACAGCTACCTTTTCTTTTTCCTATTTTAGAGCTTGGTGTAAGACAATATGGACTGAGTATGTAACCTCCAGCTGTCCTTGACCTGTGAGACCAAGGCACAAGCTCCACCTCTTGATGGTCTCAGGGAAGTAAGTCTCTCAGCTTTTCTTCCCCAACTGTAAATATGAGTAGTGAATTCTCATAGGGTTAATTGCTGTGACAGAAATACCACAATAAAATTCTGGAAAGCCACCCAAAATTGCAAAGCAGGAAGAGGTGTATCTACAGCAAGCTGTAGTCACTTAGGCATCAGAACAGCATATATATTGTTATATAGTCCAGACCAACAATACTCTGAAGAACTAGTCCATTCATTTAACAAGGGGATAAAGCATATGGCTCAAACAGACGTGACAGAAAAGACCGCTGCACAGCTGAGACACAGAGCAGTTTTTATACTTGGGGCATAGCTCCCCGCTGCTGCTCAAATCAGAATTGGCAGCACACTTTGCTCTTACACCTTACTTCTCTATAAACTCACAAAAAACAGAGACCACCTCCCTGCAACTGTAGGCTAGTCCAGTTTATATTGCCTCCCAGCCTCTCTTTCCAGCCTTTGCCCAGTGAGTCAGTTTCCAAAGATGATGGTGGGACTTCTGAGACTTTCCCACATCTGTCAGCTCTTGCATGAGGGAACACTATCATACCATTATCATTCCAAGGAGTGGGAGAGAGAGAGGGTACACAGCTCCTTTCTGCTCAGAGACATACAGAATGGGGGATGCCCCCATGAGCTAAATTTTTCAAGAACACTTCAAACTTTCAAAGCACACAAGCATGTCTTGCTCAAGTTGGGGAATCACTGCATTTCCACCCTACCAAAGCGCAGTCAGACTTAATGCACTTTCAGTTCTAATTGTCATTTCAGGTCCTTTCAGATTCTGCTGCAGTCTTCTTCCACTTTTGTCCTGTGTAATTTTTATGAAGAGAAACTATACATAATATATAAAATTACCAAACACGGACCATCAAAATAATAAAACTAGCTTTGGCTTCTGTAACTTAGAAGTTATCTATGATGCAAACAACATTGACATTTTCAAAATGAGAGATATAATAAGTATATGCAAAGCCTTGCAAATATTCTGGAGAATTATTAGACATGTTTGCTAGAAAATGTTTTCCTCCTGTTTAAAATGAATAGGATTTCTTCATTTTCAGAGAGGTAAAGCTAATCTGCAGTCACGAAATCAGAACGGTTTGTGGCAGGGCAAGTCAGTTGTGAACAGCCTGCCAGAGGAGAGGTGCATGCATGAGAAAAGAGGTAATCCTTACATCCTTGGCTGCTTTTGGATCAGATACACAGGCGAAAGTGATGTCACAGGTTGAGACCACTTCAGCGGGGGTTCTTCCCAATCGTGCCCCCTCCTGGATGAACAAATCACACTGCAAAAGTCACAGACCCAAATGTAAGAAATGGAAACAATTGGACAAGAAAGGCCAATTCAGGCCTTGGCTGAACCAGGGACTCCGATTTGCTCATCGTCAACCCAAGAGAGAGCAGAATAAAGCTGGGTTTAAATGAACAAAGATAAAAAGCTTTAATAATCCTACAGGCATGCTTGATACAATTCACCCAGGCTAACTCAAATTTCTTCTCTGCTTTCTACATCGGTAACCAACCTTTTTGTCTATGCAATGGCTTTCAAACTGCACCCTAAGAAACTCTGGGATTCCATGGAAGGGTTTAATGCCCATGGGCCGAGAGACAGAAGCCTGCCTTCTGAGAGGAACTGGGGCAAATGGCAGCAGCCACAGCTGTTCCAGAGATCAGAAGGCAGAGCTTCTGCCACCAGCCTCAAAAATAGCACGAGCTGGGAGGAAAAAAGACGATGCATAGGGGAGGAAAATGTTACCATAGCTACTGTGAGCTGGTGATAATTTAAGCTGGAATTGTCAAAGCAATAACTGAGCTCAGAAATACATGCTTCAAAAGTTATTCTAATGCTGACAGGCAGCAACGCCTATGTTCTGGCCAAAAAGCTCCCCCCCGCCCCCGCCATATCATGTGTCCCAGCTTACTCCATTTTGGGGTGACAGCTTGATTTGAAATCAGCAAGTCAAAAGTTATCCCAACTACTTTATCAAGTCTCTGCAGGCTGAGACTCTGTCTAGGTCAGGAGTGGGTAGAAGGTAGCTCAGAACGTACTGGTAGCTCTCTGGGTGATTTGCAGTAAATCATTAAGGGTCTCCAGCTCCCAGTTAATAGCAGTAGTTGTTAGGTCTAAATGGACTTATCTGTAGTAACTCAAATGAAGATCTGTATTATCTATAAAGGTCATGCTGGGGTATGACTCATGGGATGTAGTAGCTAATTAATTCCACTACGCCCTGTGTCACCACTTTGCATCTGGCTCCAGTTGGTGGATCTATGGGTTCTAGTTAAAAAAACAAAGCAAATTCCACAATCTAGAGGTCTGCCCTCCCCAGGTCTAGCGGGCTTTATTATATAATCTGATATCATCTTGGCCTTTCTAGGAATAAACTCACCTTCTCAGCAGTCCGGTTCCAGACTGTGACAGTGTGGCCCATTTTTAATAAGTTGGATACGATGCCACTTCCCATCAGGCCAAGGCCAAGGAACCCTATCCTAAAAAAGGAATGGAGACTGTTAGTACTGAAAGGCTACAGAGGAAGTGTATGCTGGGGAGGATGAGCAGATGGCTGACCTTCCTCTGGGACAGAGGTTTCTGTACACCGCCAAGTTACATGGGAACAGGCATACAGAGGCACAGGCAAGCAGCAAAGTATGGTTCTCCTAAGAGTGGAAGGTTTACTGAGAGAGACTCTCAGGGGAAGGGACTCAAATACAGTTGCCAGTGGATTATATTTAAACCTTGGGCAGAGAGCCAGTGTTTGACTGATGTTACAAATTTGCTCTGTGCCGCGTGTCTCAGAGAGCAGTTTGGCACTAAAAGGCATTTCTTTCTGCTTAGACAGACCAAGTGAATCTAAATTTTAAGGAGGTACTCATCTAGGAGAGCCAACATTACACAAAAATGCCTGTGGAAAGTACACAAAGGGCGCAGGATAGGGCAGTGGAAATGCTTTGGGTTTGCATGTGACAGATCATGGTTTGAAACCAGCTCAACTACAGTGTCACAAGGCCACTCCCTTCTTGGCCTATTTGCCCCAGAAGAGTCCTGAGAGAATAAATTGAGATAGATGAAAAGAAAGCATTCTGGGCATAGAATAGTGCAACAAAGAAAACCAACATTTATCATATTCTCTAAATTGATTTTTTTTTAAATGGCATGACAAGAAATAAAGTGATGATAGTACAGAAATTCCTCACCTATACAGTAAGAATGCACAGCATGAGGCCAAGCCTCATAAAAAGCACCCATAGGTAAAATGTATCCTAGAACCCTCATCCTATTCCCCAAACCCCCACCTCTCATAGCTCTGAAGTTTCCTTCTAGACCACCCAACATACCACCTATCCATGCAGCCTTAAATTCCATGAGGCTGTGCACCTTAAGCCTATTATGTATATAATAATTTACTTTCAAGGATACTGTTTCTCTAAACATAGCATTGGGTATCCTGGTGCCTAACACACAAGTTAAAAATCCATTAAATATCTGGAAATCTTTCTTCCATCCTATGCAAAAGAATGATACATTCATTGAAGCATCTCTTTGCATGTTAGTAACCACTCAGGACTTTTAGTTAGGGGAGCCACTGTTAATGGGCTCATTTGGGCTGTGTGGCAAATCTTGGGCGCTTATCCAAACTAACAATGAAGGGAGAAAATATGGTGCAGGTAGGAATACGGTGATCCTGCCTATCATTTTTTGGTAAAATGTAAGGAAGGCTGAAAGCCCTGAACAAAGATATTACCTTTGCAAACATGCAAAGAGTACAAGTGACTATTTCCTTTCACTCACAGTTTTCTTAAAACTGATCTTAACCATGCACATTCATAAGCATTTTAGCTTCCTGTATGTCAACCATTCAGCTCATTGCTTGCTGCTCTTGCAAAGCTTAAATAAACCAACATGAAAGAGCTAAGGCAAGCCAGCTAAGACAGCATCAAACCCAGGCTCTGCCGGCTGCACTTCTTGTCTGCTTCTGAGCTGCTCTGGGGAAAGAGTTTACCTGAATGCCTTCATTGTTACTTCAGTTTCCCTTCAGCAAGCCTGAAAAACTGACAACCTGAGATGGCTGCAGTGACAAAGAGGCCGCAGCCTGTTCTGCATCGGAGCAGAAGGGAACTAGCTTCTGAGAGCAACACAGGAAGTGCAGTTGTGGCTCCTGTTACTCTAGAAAGGAGAGGGGAAAGCGCAGGAAGTGTCAGAAGACACAAGTGTCACAGAGTGTCATTCCTGGACAGTACAGGAACCCCGCCTCTTCCCCTCCTTCTGGTGGTTTGGCGTTACTGGTTAAACACACTTCGTTGTCCGATATGCTCTAGAGGGCAATAAAATTTTGGCTGGGTGGTTATATATAAAGGATGCTTGCAATAACCCAGGTTGTGGTAAAATACGTATTTTCACAAAACATTTACCACAGCAGAAGAGAAGCGCACTAGAATACTCAGGAAGACCTGTGCTAGTTTTATTTATTGCAATATCATGGCCATCCTCCGAAATTCAGGGAAGAATACAGGAGGTTATTCTCATTTCAGCCCTCAGTTCTGCAAGGCTGATTAGTCTGAGTGAAGGTGATTAGCATAAGGCCACAAGCTGAGCTTCATTACTTGAGCTCCAGACTCCCCAATCAAACAAACGCTCAAGCCAGAAGGATGAGTGCCCAAGAACCAAGCTATTAGGGACAGCATCCAACAAAACATCCCAAGTCACACAAACAGTGCCCAAGATTTGCCATGCAGCCCAAATGAGATGTCCGACAATATTGGAAGCTCTCGTATATCCAAATGCATTGAACTTTGATACGCTCGTGAGATATGATGATATTTTGGATAACGATGGAGGATTAAAATTGAATCAAGAAATAGAAGAACAAGGAATTAATATTTCTTGGTGGCACAAGGTTCAAATGCAATCGAGATATGCCAAAGATCATAGAATGTGGGGCTTTTATAAGGAGTCAACAGCATTTAATCACGTGATTCTTAAATCTGATAAGAAAATGATTAAAAGATTGTACAATTTCCTACTGGAGAGGAGAATGGAAGATGAACAGGTTAAGGAAACTATGATAACATGGGCACAAAATGTTGGATATAATATTGAGTTAGAGAAATGGCAAAAACTGTGGGAAAGAAATATTAAAGTAACATTAGCAACTTCATATAAAGAAAATTCATATATGAAAATTTAGCTAAGATGTTTCCAAATATGTCAAATGGATGTTGGAAATGCAAATGCAAATACAAATCGGGTACGTTTTATCATATGTGGTGGACTTGTGATAAAGCAAAAAAGTATTGGATTAAAATACACAAATGGCTTGAGGAAATGTTACAAAAACCTTTAACATTTAAACCTGAAGTTTTCTTATTAGGCATTGTACCTGATGATCTTAGTAAACAAGCGATGTATTTGACTCTACATGTAACTACTGCGGCGAGGATTGCATTTGCCCAACACTGGAAGAGTGAAGAATCACTTTCCGACGAACTGATTCTAAAAAAGATTTTGGACTGTGCGGAAATGGATAGACTAACTTTGTCTCAGAGGGAGAAAGAAGATACAGTCTTCTATCAAGCCTGGGACTCTTTATCATTGGCTAGAGAAACAGGACTATGCATAGACTTAAACATGTTTATAGTTTAACATAAAAAGAAAAAATGTGGGAGGCTGACCCAGTAGGTCTGATGTTTTCGATGATTGATGCTTCTTAGTTTCTTTTTGTTAGGTACATTAAGAATAAAACTTATTAAAAAAAAGAGATGTCTGACAACATTATTTATCCAACATTGAACACAGCAAGTTACTAGTTGGCCCTCAGTGACAAAGGACAGCCATAGCAGAAGTCAGAATTAGAGACAGAAAAATAAGAACATGAGGCTCTTACTTTTTGTCTGTAGGAGTGATGCTGCCATTGATAGCTGTGCTGTCTGCAGCCTGGATGGATGTGGACCCAGTTTCCTATGAAAAGAAAAGATACCCACAAAAGTTAATTTCCCTTCAGAAAAATAGGCAGTATCTTTAGACAGCAGCAAAGGCAAGTCCATAACAAAGTTGGCTGTACCTCTTCACACACCTTCAGCTTCTTTGTAATGGCCTGATAGCAAACAGCTGGCTGCATGGAAAAGAAAACACAAAGCACATTTTGAATACATTACAGTAAGCCTATTGCTCACTTTCAGGACAAGATGTTCCATAAACTCTGCATGAAAAAATGAATCATTATGAATAAGGCAAGGACTCTCCACCCCAAGCCTAATTTCTGCATCTGAAAAAAATCCCTCTGTTGCAATGATCAAAAATCTTCCTCAAACCCTCCAACCTCAATCCCTCATATTCACGGCTTTCCCATCTATTATGATGAACACACTGGTAAGGAACTAATGTTAAGAGATACCCTGCAGAGAACAAGTATAACCTAGATATGGTAATGGTAAATTACTACTCCCTGCTCCTGTCCCCCTAGGATGGAGAATGCCTGAATAAAAAAAATACTGAATGTAAGAAATGGCAATAGATGCCTTATAACATATCATTCAGAGAGCTCTGCAGAGGCACCAAGGTCTTCCCTGACTTCTATTGTCCTGCTCCATTAACATGCAAAATCAGTATGTCCATAATTCAGTCCCCACCCCCGGCCCACCAATGGCAATTATTTGCACATTTTACAAACTGGTGTTTCTCACTGAAACGTGAGGATGCCAAAGAACCCCATCTGCAAAGGAATTCACACTTACAAATGTCAAAATAAAACTGATTATACCCAGCGCAGTTTTCAGCTCCGTTAGGCCACACTAGATGAACTCACCACCTACACCTATGGCTCACCTTCTCTGTCTGGCTAAGCAGGAAGTGATGGAAATGCGGGTCGCCATCTTTCACAGGCTGCAATTGCAAAGAGGCACACTGAGAAACCAAGATAACCAGGCTTCGAGTCTGAAAAGCCACCATGCAGATTTTGCATGGATCGTAGCTCTTCTACATTCTGATGAGATTTTGTGATGCCTTCCTGGAACAGTCTTATTTCTCTCACTAGTCACCACAGCATGGTGGTAAAGAACTGGCATTATGAATTAGACGTGAGAATCCAAGGAGGACAGATTGCAGAGTTCAACTAAGAATGAACTGGTAGGGGGAAAGGAAGTAACTTCCCAGACATGAGAGCACTGTGTTATACTGGTGAAGAATGCAGGACTGGGACTCAGGCACTCTGGGTTCCAGTCCCTGCTCACCCATGGCATCAACTGGGTGACTCTGACTCTCCGCTCAGTCCTCACAGGATTGTTGTTGTGGGGATAAGATAAAGTGTAGCAGGAGCAGAATGATGTAAGCTGCTTTGAGTACTTTTTTTAAAAAGGCAGAATATAACTCAAATAAATAAAGTTAAACTTACAGTGCATTTCTACTCAGAAATAAATCCCACTGTAAATAAAGCTAGGACTTACTCCCAGGTAAATGAGCACAAGATTGCAGCCTTAGTTGTTCATTTCCTGAAAACCATACATGACAGCCTTTACGGTTTGGACATTACTCTTCTGAATAAATCCTTTAAAAGCATTTCCAGAGTAAGAGTATTAATCCCAATTTGCTGATTTCTGTCATCTGAAGCACACTTACTAAGCAGCAAGTCACACTGAAATAAATGGGACTTTCTTCTGAGGAAATGTGTTTAGGATTGTGCCTCTTAAATCAACTTTCCCATTCTTGGAGCACTCTCATCATGATGGAAATGATAAATCTGACTAAAAATTATCTGATGATGGGTAGATGATCCATTTCCTCTTAACATGGCTTTTTAGTTCTTTTCTTTCTCCTGTCACCTTAGCACCAACTATCAAATTTTCAAGCATTTTGTGTTAACACAATTAACTTCTTTCATTCTATCCATAGCATCCTAAGGGGAAACATTCTTGTGTAAATAGTACCAAAGGTTTTCTCTCCCCCAACCCCGCACATTGCCAGGAATGTCCCTTCTTTCCAATTTCAAAAAAAAAATCCATCATTCTAGGAACAAAAACATTTTGTTCTCATAGTGGTTCTTCTGTCAGGACCAAACACCATGCCGCTAAATGCAACTTTGCATGTAACATGCAGGGCTTTTTGAAATGCAAGCTGCACCAGCTTGGGGTGGATGCTGCTGCTGATTATTAGTGGGACGAGAGCAGAGCTGCAGGGCAAGTGCCCTCCCGTCCCCTGCTGCAGCCCTCAGGAGAAGCCCACTTCTGAGGCTAGTATGTGGTCAGGCATGTGTGGCAGGTAGGAGGGGATTCTGCATCTGAAAGGGATACTTTCAGACCAAGGGGAACGATCTTTAGGTTATTTTTTAAAACAACTCCTGCTCTGGTCCCACTGATTATAAGCAGACCTCAAAATCTGATGCAGTGTACATTTCGAAAGAGCTTCCATGCAGATTGTTTGGCCCTCAGACTTGAGCACGGAAGGATGTGAATGAGGTTTACAGAGATAACCATGTGGTAAGACTGATTACACATGCCTGGGCAGCTCCACAACTTTACAATTTCTGTTTTCCTCCCCGCACTAGCAGCTTAGACAAGTCCTGCCCAATGGCACTGCTCTGAGAGGGAGCCACAGTGCTCCAACCAATCACTGGCTGCTCCTCAGACATAAGATCGCAAAGACCGAGCTGCGGGAGTGAGCACGCTCAGCTGAGTGAAGGCATGGGTGGACCTCTCCGCCCTTTGTCTTTGGAGCAGGGCTTCTAAACAACTTCCATATTGCAGGGAATTTCTTGCAAGCATGAGGGCTCAACGCTTAATAATAATTCCATTAGGCTGATTCTAAAGGGTGGGAAAGATTAACTGTACTCTAGTGTTTTTTCGGGGGAGAGAGGTAATGTCTCACTTTTCACTGCTTGTGGGTCTCATCCTCCTATTTCAAACACTTTTCTCTAATTTGTAAAGTACAGAAATTTGTTTATGGTTAGCACCAAGTCATAAAAGAGGTGTACCACTCATGCTCAGTTATATTTCTGTGGCTCTACAGGTAAGTACTGTAAAATAACAACTGATTCAAGCCTTTTTTTTTCGGATTTAAACACTGATGTTGGAGATGGCTATAACCACAACCTGCTTTTGCAAGGATTCTCATGGAACACTAACAAGGAAGTGAGCCCCATGGTAATTAATAGGGTCTTCCTTTTCAGAGAAAGAGTCATGCTTCTAACCTGCTTCTGAAGCCTAGCTGCCTAATGCAAAATTAACGTGAGATATTTAATAAAAGCAAATATTCTACACTCATTTTATTATAAATTAATTAAGAGTTAGCCTAACTTTGGTCACACTGAAATCAGAAAAGTTATTTATGACTTCATTTATGCCCCCCTTGATTTCAATATGAATGGCTAGCATTATCTACCAAAAAAAGACTGGGCTAAGTGGCATGTCTTCTCCCCAAAACTACTATTTTCGCTCTCTTTAACTGTATCCAGCTAAGGAAAGAGCTCTGGGTTTGATCAGCACAGAGATGGAGAACAGAACATGTTTTACACCTGCAAACTGCTGAATTCGCTAATGACAATTTGTGCCATGGTGGTGATGAAAACAGCACTGGATTCTCTTTGAGGAAAGGCACACAGGGAGCACATACCTTGCTTTAAAGATAAATTACCACCATACTGCCAAACTTCTGCAATGCAGAGGCAACATTTTCAATAGCAGTAAGGATAGCTTGGTCCCATGTGGGTAGGAATTAGCTCCCAGACACTACCCACCTCAAAATAAGTAAACTTTAGACCTATGTGCAAACCAGGAATTCTAGCTTGTTTCTCCAGCAACAAGTCAGAAAAATAAATCAAGAATAATCCATGTTTAGTTCTCCGAAATATCAGGGAGAGACAAGCCAGAAGTCCTGGTCCACATGTTGGCATGAATGAAAGGTCCATGGTTTGCTTAGCTGCTTCTGCATCTTGTAGGCAAATAAGTCAGGGTTGCTCTGGAATTCTGGCTTATTGTGATGTGCCAACCGTTTTCTGCAAGTGAGTAGTCCAATATGTTCCATTTCTGTTCTAGTTGTAGAAACCAACACGTAATCACCATTTTCAACATAGTTTGGGTGGTTACACGTTTTAAATTAATATTAAGTAGAAAGGCCTGTTCTGTAGGCCTTCTACAACCTTGTGCCCTCCAGGTGCTGTGGATTGTAATTCCTCTCCATCACCACCAGCATGCCTAGTGATTAGGGAGGTTTAATCCCAGGTATCTGCAGGACCCCAGATTGGGGGAGGGAGCTCCAGTTGGGACTCCAGTTGTTCTTCCTCCTGTCTCCTTTGAGCCAGGCAACACAGGTGAAAATGAAGACAGTGTGAAGTATGAAGAGAGGTGGACAAGGACTGGGGCTGCTGAGCGTGGAGATGGAAGGAAGACAAAAGGAATGTATCTGAATCTAGCTAGAGGAGCACAGGCACATAAAGAAAATTAAACAAGGAATGCATCTGAGATGGAAAAGCAAGAATCCCAAAACCCAGAAGCCAAGCCTTCTGTGAAGGAATTCAGCTTGGCAGGGCACCGGTTTACTGACATCTACCCTGCTGCTAGAGCAAAGAGTCAAAAAAACAAAACAACGCAGCACTTCTACTGGCAATAATGCAAAGAGTTTAATCACCTCGCTTACGCTTGGCGGCCATTTGAATCCAGCCACGGTGCCCGTCATCATTCTCTTCACTGTGCTTGACTCAGGGATTGTCAGGTCCTGTTGAGAAACGAGATGAATGAAGAACGCTGTTTTCTGCACTGGTAAGGAATGTGAGGCCCTCTAGGTGTTTCGGACTGCAATTCCCATCAGACCTGGTTAACACAGGCAATGTTGAGGAATGATGGGAGCTGCAGTCTAACCACATCTGGAGGCCCACATATTCTCACCCCTCATTTACTGACACGCCCCCCAAAGTTGTATGCATGGGTGACCTTGAAGAGCAGCAAAGAAATATGCTGGGGTTATCAAGAAGGGATTTCCTTCTACATCCCTCAGATTCTCACCTTGAAAGAGACTGTTCACAGAGATTACCACATATTCCAGGCTAGCTCCCAAATTAGTGCATTTCAGGTAGTTTAGACTGCAGTTTCCATTATCTCTGGACAATGGTCCTATTGGCTGACTGGAACTGTAATCCCAAACATGAGGAGGCACCAAGATGGGGAAAGCTATTCTGGACCAAGCAGCAGAGCAACAACTTGGAAGCATGTCATATGAAAAACTCATGTGAGAAACATCCAAAAAAGTCTCGAGTTCTGGTATTTGCTGAAGGTGGTGTAATGCAAGACATCATCTGGGCTGGTTTTTAACAGCTAGTGGTAAGGGATATGGGATAACTTGACTTCCAACAGTGTATTTTTAATGGGTGTTTATTAGTTTTATTTAATTACTGTATTAGGTATGACTGAAGTCCTTGGAGTGAATAGCCTGGGTGAAGAAGTACAATGTGACAAATGAAGCAAGAAGCATTTTGTCAGCTTCAAGGTGACTAAAACCAGTCCAGAAATAATGCATTCAGGAAGTTCCTAAGCATACTTGTCCAGAAGCAAGTTCCACCAAGATTTTACGAAGTGTGTTTTGGCCTGCAGTCTTAACATCACCTGCACATATGGCGATGGTTAAGTATTTAGTATCAGTTTCACAAGTCTGGATGATACATTTCCATGAAGGACAGGTGACTGCTGCTGTTATTGCCATGGAGAAAAATACTGAACACATCCACAATGTAAGCACACTAAGTTGTCAAAATCTCCTAGCTTGTTCTTGTGTTGTTGTTATAATAAAAATATTAATAATAAAGGATTTTTTCATTCTAATACAGACCTTGATAGCAACCTCCCTTCAAACAGACACTTTGTCAGCTTGATCTTAGAGTCCCAGTTTCTAGATCTGGAATTATGCCAACACCACACTACATACCCAACTATTTGAATTGCCGTGAGGTTAAGAGCAGAGATGCATGGAAGCCTGACACAAGAATACTTTCTGGTTTCAGACTCGCTGGTTAAACCTCACTGCATGTTTAACCTCAACCATGATTGCTGTTGATTATGATGATGATTTATATTGATAATGAAAGGTTAAGATTTTTAGGTCTTGCACTGCATACTAAACAGGACACGCAACTCTGATGCTGACCAGTTGTCCCCAGGTGAGTGTCCTCCAGATGCATGAGACTGCAGCTACCATCCCTCGTGAGGTGCACAAAAGTGGGAAAGGCTGGTTTTCATAACAGGCAGCATCTGAGGCCTCTTCCATCCCACAACACAAAAGCGGTTTGTACAGCTCTACCAGCAGCCCTCAGCTGGACAAACTATCAGTAGCTTTAAATCTTAGTTTAAGTGTTGCAGACGTTACACAAGAACAAGTCAGTCCCACTGAATGGTAATTATAATTTGTTAGACAAATGTCAGAGTAGGGATGGGAAGATTTCAGGCTTCCATGACTTGCTTTTTTAGGAACAGGAATCCTAAGATCCATCAACCAGATGCTGCGGCAAAAGACACATTCTTTGAATGTAAGAATTCTGATCCCTGGAATTTATTCTGTGTATGAGATGAAGAGAGCACACAGAACATGCAACAATCTTCCTGGTTACCCCAAACATTTTTCATTTAAACAGCATAATGTGGAGCTGTAGGACTTGTAGCTCCTGTTTTCAAACACTTGGGAATCAGAAAGTTTTTATCTAATTCAAATTGCCTAGAGATTACCAACAGAGCTTGAGCTATCTTCTGCTCACCCTTGTCTTTACAGACTAAAAATTATACTCTTACACATACTTACCTAAAACTTCATGAACTCAGTAGAACTTACTTTCCAGCAAACACATTAAGATAATTTGTAAAGCAAGCCCGTATTTTGCTTGCTCATGCAACTGGAGACCCCCGGCTTGCTTGCACCACCTGACCTAATCTGCTATGCTGGAAACTTGTGATGTGCCTAGCGAAAGTGAGAGAGCGTGAGCAAGAGAGAGGGAGGAGAGACTGTGGTCTGGGAAATCATATGAACTTTCCAAAGTTCTGAGTGGAAAACCGAAGCAAAAAACAACTGAGGGGTCCATTAAAGGATCATGGAATTAATGGACACCGGCAATGCAAACGAGTCACACTTGATTGGCTCTCCCAGTCAGAGACAGGACGACAAGACTTTAAGCTAGTGCAGCTATCATACCCCTGCTGCAGAAGCAGCCAGCTTCAGCCCATTCAAGCAAAGAAGTGACCTAAACAGTGGGAACCAACTTTTGAATAGTTTGGGACCATGATATTTGAAGGACTTCCTCCTACCACACGAGGAGGTGGCTCTTGGTTAGGACAAAAGACGCTTTTTCAGCCGCAGCTTACAGAAGGTTAGGTGCAAGAACTTTTTCCTTTTGCCAGAAATTGGCTTAAACTGATTTGGTGTTTGATTATAATTTCATGATTCTACTTTAAGACTTCCAGTTCTAATTTTTATATTTGTGTATTGTATAACATCATGCTGACCGGTTTATTTTATTCATTTCTATACTGCCCAATGACCAAACCTCTGCTGGCTCTTTTAGAGACTGAAAGAGTATACATTCTTTTATAACAATGAACTCCACTTCATAGCATAGAGGGAGTTGCTTCGTATTCTCTAGATAACCGTAGTCAGGCGATAGAGCATTCTATTGCACACCTTTGTTTCCGTTCAGGTGACAGCCAATACCTTTAGCAACCTGCACATTTGGCTACCATCTTCTTACATTAAACCCTCCATTCCACCAAAAGTTGAAGCCAGTAGATTCAAAGTTGGAAGCTTCTTGTCCTCCATTAAGCATACAAGCTACAGACGAAGTATTTTCCACCAATCTTCCAGACTTGCTTGCAACTCCAGCGTGAGCTTCTGCAACAGTGACAAAGCAGGGTGGCTTCAGTTACCAAGATGCTTCAAGTGCGGCAGCCAATGATATTAATCAACACTTTGGCTGACAACACTTCTTACAAAAGCAGGGCCTCCTTGAGTGGGCCTAGGCTCCCTGCCAAGATTCTCCAACATTCAGATTTTGAAGAACTATTAAGTATGCCTCAGTAAAGATTCAAGGCAAGAAATCATGTAGCAATGGTGGCTGAATAGGGATAGAATCATCAAGAAGAGAAGAAGCTACTATAACCATCAGAGGACCGACAAATGGCATTTGGGGTGTTCATGGCTGAATGCCTCCCATAAAAGATGTTGCAGTCATCAGGTCATGCAGATGAATAAACGGTTATTGAGCCCAGACTGTAAAGGAAAGAATGCCATTTTAATAGTTCCCTGAAGTGCTAAGATCACTGAAGACCAATCCTGGTTTTCCTGGCTACTTTCCACCTAGTCTCTTCTCAACTTGAAAATCCAGACTTAATGCCTAACTATACATATCCATTTGAGTAAGTAAAACAGACCACCACTTTCAGCCATCAGTCAGTTACTTAGCATGCTTCTGTTTTCCTAGAGAAAGGTTAAAGGCCTAGATTTCTTATACCGAAGAAAAGGAAAAGGTAGCAATGTGTATTCTGAAAACAAGGACTCTGGAAAGGTATAACCAAAGCTCAAATCTTGAGGAAGACAGTTTCAGAATCCCATATCCTGTTGATCTTTGCAGTATTTTTGTATCTGAACACATTTTATTGGTAGGTCACAGGTGTTAAGATGCATTCCCCCAGAATCCCCTGGCACAACCGTGCACTTAAAAAAAATGCAGATGAACAATGGAGGTACAGTGTACAGTTTGCTTGAGGATGAATGGCATGTAATTCTAGCAAATCGTAGTTGTCTGGTAATCTTTTCTTCTGCTTCTTAATGGTCTTCAAGTTCAGTCCCTATGGAGTATTAAGAGTATATTCATTTTAGTGCTGAGTTTGCACTGAGAAGATCAAGAGCCAGAGTTCGGAGGTTTCAACTCTCTTGATGAGTACTGTGATGACTAGACTCTGCTATCAAGCATCTGTAAATGTCCAAGGATGAGACAAACCATAATTGTGAGAGTGCTGAATGCTGGCAAGGATATAGGAACACACAAAAACTGAAGTCTTCTGTTTGGGTCATCCATTTCTAGAAACATTTCTCATCCATACTGCAATTCAAGCAACTGGCCCTTATCCAGCCTGAGAGCACTGGAGAAGGAAAGAGACGGAGTGGCTGTCATCTGATCAAACGCACACATGAGATGAAGATGTTTACACAAAGTGCTACATGGCTACTGAAGGTGAAATTGTGCTGCCATTTCCTTCATGAATATATGCAACAAGATGGAAGCACAATGTAACGTTGATTTTCCAAGCAGATATAAACAGAAGGCACCTCAATGAAAACTTAAACTTAGCATTTTGCAAGAGCCACCTAATACAAATAATTATGGCTGTGAAATAATGGAATTGGCCAATGGACTCTCAACGGTTAATACATGCAACTTTCCAAATGGTCACAACAATGAAGTCATCCGGTTGGCTGTTAGGGTTACATTCCATCTGGACAAGCTCACTGAGCAAGGGAATAGATGTGCAGCGAAACACAAACCTTCTCATCTTTGGGGGGGCGCCCTCGCTTCCGGGGGCTTTGCTCATATGTTCTCTTCAGTGGGGATTTTGAGCCTCGCTCAGAGGAAACAGAAGAAACTCTCTTTTTCGGCTTCCCTTCTGACAACCCGGCTTTGTGTTTCTCTTCTCCCACTGAATGCTTGCCCCTTTCTTCACTGGAATTTCGCCGGTTCTTCTCTTCATTGGAGTTATGAGAAGATGCCTGAGAGATCACAGAACAGAAGGATAAGGAAAAGAAGGGGCATGATCTGGCAGCGAATTCACTTTCCCCACACTCACAAAACCCAAGGATGATGAGTCCTGCTAAATACCTGCAACATGCCAGACTGAACACATGTTGTAACAGGTTCAAGCCACTAGTCAGGAGAACAGATAAGAGGAAACAGGGCCCAGCTGTGTGTTCAATGCAAAGACATGCTTTAGAAAGAAAATAATGCACCAACTCCAGAGTCCACAGTAAACATAACTGAATGCTGCAGATGGATTATCGACCGTGAATGCAAATAGACCGTGAATGCAAAACGGATTCTAATAATTTTCCATGACACATTTCCAGAGACATAGCCTACTAAATCCATCCAGTCAGAAAGTAAAAAGGATAATGAAAGCTCTCTCATCCATTAGTCCAAGAACCTGGATATATATGCAAAATTAAATAAGAAGCCATTCACCTGGTCCTTGCCTTTGGCTTTCTTCAGGAATTCCTCTACAGCATCCACAGCTTGCTGGAATCTCTTGCCTTTATTAATTTTAATCATTTCTTCTTTGTGGGCATGATACGGCTTCAGCTGCTCCACTTTAATCCAAGCACTAAGATAAATCCAAATGACATTCTCATGAAGACATATATCAATACTGACACTCAGACACAATTGCTATCCCTTCCAACCTTCCTTGCTAGGGTCTTCTAACTTTTCTTAGGAATATCAATTTGTTTAAATACTGTCATGAACAATACACTAACTTGCACACATGGTAGCTAGAAACTTTGAAGCCATGGGAAAAAAATACAATTTGGACAAAAACTAAAAAAAAAAAAAGCTATACCCATTTTTGTACACTTTGTGCATTGTTGTTTTGTTATTTTAGTACAAGCTATATATGGCATATAAACTTGCTGTGCTCATACCATTACCAATAAAATGTAGAAGTAAATTAATATAGTAAAAGTTTAATATACTGAGCATAACTATTTTATCACCAAAAAAAGTTACTTATAAATTTTAGCTTCTAATTTCATTTCTGACAAAAGGGGATTTCAACAAGTACTTTCTGAAGCATGCCAATCATCCTAGAAGTCAGAAGAAGCAGGAAGTGCTGGCGGCAGGGGAAGAAAGCGCCTGCTCCTATTTGTAAAGACTTGCTTGTGCCTGAGTTTGGGAAAATGTGACAGTTCATTTAGTTGGAGAGGAATATCTGGAACTATTAGGGACAGTAACCAAGTAAACTTCCTTTAAGTACCTCTGAGCAACCTCAACTGATTATCTGAATAGTGACTGTGATTCGATTCCATTTTGGCAAATAATAATATTCTACGTGCTTTAATTTTTGTTCGTTTGAAAGGCTGTCCCTAGTGATGGTGTCAGTCCCATTTTTATGCCATAGAAGTGTTCTAGATAGAGTTTATTTTAAGAAGAGATGGCTTATTTTGGTGACAGGAGCTGAAGGTGAGACAGCATTACCCAACAGCAGGTCAATTTAGGAACTTTAATAAAATTGGTGACAGCGAGTCCTACAGAGCTGATTTTCAAGGTTTTTAAAAAGAAATACAGGAGGGATGACGCAAATGTTTCATACAGTGGCAGCGATCGGATAACCTATAACAGGCCTGTGCACATGATACACAAGCAGGGACAGCCCTACCCACATCATGCACACCACACAGATTTACCCAAAACCATCCATACCTGCAAGGTATGCATACCTTCATGCATATCTCTAGCCATTTTAAGCCAGCTGAGCAATAAATGTTCTTTACAAATGAACACAAAGATTAAGAACATGGTAAACTCTGTGGCCAATAGTGCACCTCAAAGTTTCTGTGTATTTCCACAGAATTTCCTGGCTTATACTCTGGGATGAATCCAAACTGAGTTACTTAAGCTTGGTTCCCTTAAAAAGCACTGTCATATTTAACTTGCTGCACTGATTTCAATGGGACTTATTTAACCTAACCTGGATCCAACCACGACTTTCAACTTCATTGTACCACTTAGCAACTATTTCATTTCAGGAATTTCCATTTCTGCAGAACATTCCCATATTGCTATTTTTGATGGATCACTCTTAAGTACAGCAGGATCCCCATATCCACAGAGATAGCTTCCAAGCACCCCAGAGGATGCCTGAAACTGTGGAAAATAGTGAACACTATATGTACCATATACTGCACATATACATTTAATTTTTCACAATTACACAAATTAGTTCTTACCATACACCCTACCAACCACAGCATACTTTTATTTCTTTCCCTATTAAATGGAGAATTTACACTTAAAGAAGCGCTTTATGATTTCTCTTTGGCATTTTACAACTTCTCCCAAATCAAACATGGTTAAATGAAAGTGTGGTAACTGAGCCAGTGAATATGCAAGTCCTGCTGTATTTATTGTTATTTATTTACTTGATTTTTCCCACCCCACTGCCACAAGGCTTTTATAAGTGCCACTGACATATTTTCTCATCTCTGGAACCAAATTGCTTCCCACTAAGGTACCAATGTATTGATCTTTTTCAGGAAAGAAAAGATGTTACGTCAGAGATTTTTCTAATGGACTTGCTTATCTCTGGCTCTTACAATATCTTGACCTCTTTGCTTTTTGTAATTAACCTATAATGTACCATGATTATCAATGTACTTCTTACAAAGGCCTGTTGTACATAGTAATTAGGGCATAGGACAATATTATCCACATTCATCACTTCTTGTGGTATGTCCCAAATCTGAATTATAATAAAATTGATACTTCAGATGATCTCCTAGACTAGGACCTAGAGAGTGGATCTGCAAAAAGTTCTGACTGAGTTTAGGTTTCAATCAAGTCCAATTGACTATACTGAATTTTAGACACTGCATAGGACTCCCGCATGTATTTATGATATACTTTTCGGGTGAATATGATGGATCAGAAGCTGAGGCCAGGGCAAGGGGGCACCTTTGAGGAAACACTGACCGGAAGCTCTACATTTTGAAACCCTTCCAGGCAAAGCTGGAGGCCAACAGCACTATGAAGTAGCACCAGGTCTCCAGCACACACCATTTCCTAGCTACCACCACCAGCATCTCACAGTCAACAGAGAACACCTCATCTGTACTGGTGAGGCTAGAAGACTGGAAGAAAGTTGCCGCTGCACCTCCTCCAGCTCAGGAAATGGAAGATCACCACACTAGCAATGACTCTTGTGTGCTCTACTCCCTTGCTGAATCATCCCTTCCATCACTAAGCAAGAGATCAGTCCTTGCTACCCAGCCAAGGTCAGGAGAGGCCTCATGTTTGTTATAAGCAAGATTCCTCACTGCAAGGAGAGGACCATGCTGGAAGTTTTATTCCTGATGTGCACAGATATCCTACATTGGTTTCTAAACACAAGAAACCATGTGGGAGCATTACCGTCAGATGCAGAAGTCCTTAAATGATTATCATTTTACTGACTACCCACAAAAAACTAGTGGTGAAGAAAATGCCTTCCCCATTCAAATCTTGTCTCTATTATGAATTCAAGATTTGGCCATAAGCAATCCTAACACTCTCAGCCCGGGCCCCTCAGCTGCAATGAGAGGCCACCACTCATGGATTACAACAAGCTCATGCATGCAAAGTGCTTCAATCAATGCTACATAAAATGCCAAATACAGACGATCCTCAATTGGCTTTGAAAAAGAGCATCACATCTTTTGGAGTGCTTTGGGCACATGCTGTTTTAGCCTGCATGTATGGGTGGGGGGGAATTGCTTGCACCCTGCGGCATTCTTGAAGACCATGCAGCAGAATTCAGGAGTTAGCCTGATTAACAGAGCATATCATATTTTATCAGGAGGTACCGAACCCCAAACTGCCATGAACAAATGAGCTCTAAAGAGCTAATTAAGGCATGCCCATGGATTAGTAAAGGGCCATGGATGGGGCAACTCTACTTTCAGCCACTTCAGTTAAGTGATACTTAGGATAAACAGTAACCAAAGTGGTCAGACAAGGATTCACAGTGAAGTGACCAAGAACTTCTCAGGGTAGCAACTGTTGTCTTAGCGGCGGCTGTTTAAAAAAAATGCATTTACACACTGCTTTCCCCAAACAGTTGCTTTTTGAAAACTGAAGGGTTCCTTTTTTCAGCCATAAGCTGATTCTGGCTTAAACTTAATTTTGAAGAGACAAAGGGTTTGGGGAAAAAACATGAGAAACCACACAGCTTCTCTACTACCGGAATCTAAGAGATGATGCCTCTGAATTAGCACTATGCAATAAATAGAATGTGTTATATTAACTGCTTCGGAATCCTGACAGGCAGTGAATGCTTTTACACACAGCGGCCTGATGTAGAAGTAACATCCCCAAACCACGGTCTGGAAAGTGACAGCCAACTTTGTGAACGTACATCATTTCACATTACCCCCTGACAGATCTAACCATGGTGTGGCATTATTTGTGCATTAATCAGAATTCCCCTCGTAATGATTTGAAATGTGAAGTGCGTTTACAAATCCTGGTTAAGTGAGAACCTTATTAGCATCAACCAAGGTTATAGTATCATCAGTACACATGTGAACTCATGGACTAAAAAAAGACAGTAAGGTATTAACTTAAGATGGGTCCCCAGTTTCAAAACTATACTGGTTTGTCTGCGCAAGACCTACTTCTCTGCAGACATACATGGAATTTGGCTCATGACAGTTCTTCCCATCACTTACCCTGGCTCCTTTCTAAAAGCTTCTGCTTTGCTGTCATGATTCTCAGTATGGGAACTTAAGGCAAGAAGTCAGTATGGCAATAATTAAGTGCACTACTGAAGAGGACTGTCTTAAATACTAAACTCAGGTAGTGAGTGCCCACAGAGCCAATGGATTCAAAAGGGGTTTCCTGAGAAATAAGATGAAGGTGTCAGTAAGTTGGGTGAATCCTAAAGTACTTAAAAAAACATAAATGCCAAATGGGGCAAAACCTTAAAACAAAGTCCCATAAGGATTGAGCATGCTCAGTAACAGAATGACAAGAATTAGCCTGAAGAAAAAAAGAGATTGGAACAGTGGTGAGGGAGTGTGATGCCCAGGTTAAGCTTCTTAGAGCTTATCCTATGCACTTATCAGACACCCTGAACAGATATACTCCTGCTAGAAAATAAGGACATACTGCAGCATTTTGTTGCAGTACACTTCCTAAATGCACGCTGATGTATTGTTGTTGTTATTGGTCTGACCCATCGCAACCCCATGGACAACATTTCTCCCGGCCTTCCTGTCCTCCACCGTCCTCCGGAGTCCACTCAAGCTCACACCGACTGCTTCAGTGACTCCATCTAGCCACCTCATCCTCTGCCGTCCCCTTCTTCTTTTGCCATCAATTGTTCCCAGCATTAGGCTCTTCTTCAGAGAGTCCTTTCTTCTTATTAGGCGGCCAAAGAATTTGAGTTTCATCTTCAGTATCTGGCCTTCTAAAGAGCAGTCAGGGTTGATTTCCTTTAAGACTGACTGGTTTGATCTCCTTGCAGTCCAAGGGACTTGCAGGAGTTTTCTCCAGCACCACAATTCAAAGGCCTCAATCCTTTGGTGCTCAGCCTTCCTTATGTTCCAGCTTTCACAGTCATACATTGCA